AAAATCAGAGTTAACGTATCGGGTCTGGTGAACTGAGGAAGTATCACCAGACCTGAAACATTAACTCTGATTTTCTCTGCACAGATGCTGCCAGACCAGCTGAGCTTTTCCAGCAACTTCTGTTTTTGTTTAAGAAATTAAACTCATAATGTATAAAAAAATTATTCATGAACCCCTATCATATACTTTATCCTCTAATAACTTCTTTGAGCTTTCAAACTGTCAATTCCACCTGCCACTGTGATGTGGGAATCAACCAACCATTAACAACACTGTAATTATAGCACAAAGTATTAAGTCAACAAACAGCTATAGAAATTGCTGGATATTCTTCTACTCACACAGACGTAAGTAGGCAATGTTGTTTTGTTTCTTAAAAAGGCCATTTAAATAAATTGTTAGTGTGGCTGTTCTGCTCTTCAAGAGCATTTGTGACTTTTCTAATGATTCATAATGCCACATTCAGAAGGCCCATGTTTTAGTGAAAATGTGATTGATTCCAAATCCCTACTGAGATCGGATTTCCTACATCTGAGTCACATCCCCACTCCTATTTCACACCTTGTGTGAAACAGCATCTGCCAGAATTTCTTTTTGTATTCATTCATGGAATATGGGAGTCACTAGCTATTCTAGCTAACCCTAACCCTATTGCTCATCCCTGTCCTTGAGAAGCTGGTGGTGATCTGCCTTCTTGCTCTGCTGCAGTCCTTAGGGTTTAGGTATGCCCATGGAAAGGGAGGGGAGTAGTTCTAGCTTTTTGAACCAGTGTTGGTGAAGGAGTGATAATATAGTTCCAAATCAACATGGTGTATGGCTTTCAGGGAAGATTGAAAGTAGTGATGTTCCATACATCTGTTGCCCTTGTCTTTCTAGGCTGTAGATGTGGGATTGGGAAGATGGGGACAGGACCAGATTTGTTCCCATTTGCCGTTTTAAAGATTCCTGGAATCACCATAACTCTTATGATAATCCAGCCCATGAGGTCACATGACCAAAAGCTTGTCAAAAGTGGAAAGTTTTAAAGAAGAGAGGTGGAAAGGTGTAGTGAGTGTATTCCAGAACTTGGAGCCCAGGTAGCTACAGAGCAGGGCATAATACTGCAGCAATTGAAATCAGGGATTCCTAAAATTCTATAATTAGAGGCGCACTGAAAGCCCAGATTATTGTGGGCTGGAAGATGTCATAGAGATAAAGAAGGGTGAAGCCAGTGAGGGACTTAAAAACAGAGATGAAAATTTTAAAATCAAATTGCTCAATCAGGAGCCAATGTAAGTCAGTGGGCACGATGGAATACAACCAACCACTACAATAGGCAAGTGTGAGGATAACAAGGCATGACCTGAGGCTGGAGCAAATGTTGGGTAATAGTATGGATATGGAAATAGGTGGAATGAATAGTGACGGATATGTGGTCAGAAGTTCATCTTAATATCAACCATGTTAATATAAGAATATAACATAACAACACAGTAATAAAAGCAAAGAACTACGGATGCCGGAAATCTGAAACTAAAATAGAAAATGGTGGAGAAACTCAGCAGGTCTGGCAGCACATGTAGACAGAAAAACAGAGTTAAAGTTCTGTCCAGTAATCCTTTGGCAGAACTAATGTTCTGACACTCTGATGAAGAATCACTGGACTCAAAATGTTAACTGTTTTTCTCTCTACCAGTACTGCCAAACCTTCTGAGTTTCTCCAGCACTTACTATTTTTGAACCTTCGCAACATAACTGTTAACAGACTGCCTTAAATTCAAACTGTTCCAAGCAAGAAATATGTGAAAGTACCACTGAAAAACAAACTGAAAACTGAGCAGTGGTACAGATCATAAAATAAGCAAACGCCTGGGTGAGAAATTAAACCATTCCCAATCTATCTGCTTACCCCACTGCAAGTATAAAAGAAACCCCACTTCTGTGCTTTGATGGGTTTTTCTGTTGCACTTATAATAAAGCAGCACTAGCTTAGCAAAAACAATTTCAAAGAATGCTCTATCTTAGAATTTGTGACTTCATGAATAATGTTTTGTAAAGCAAACAATAATTCTAATATTAACAGAAGCATTTAAAGAACACAGTTTGTTCTATGAAGTTTGAATGCTGGTTCCCTTGAAAACATACCAATTTTCTGCCATTTTTTCTGCTGCAAAACTGTGATGTTGTTCTTCAATTTGAAGCTTTTAATCAGTGCAGCACAACAAGCAGAAAATTCACACATTAACATCAATGTGATGCTTTCTCCATCACAGCACCTGATTTTCTGGAGGCAAAATACAGCAAAAAAGTAATGCTTTTCTTTAAATTTAGGAGGTAAACAACCTTTTCTTTTGTACAACTCCTTTGAAAAAGATCTGTGCAAACATAGTGACTGTTCAGTATTTAACATCAATATAGTGAGTACATATGTGTAAAGGTATCAACAAATGATATAACAGTACAGATGCATGTATAAATGGAAGACATTAACTGTTAAAACGTACATAGAAACATAGAAGATAGGAGCAGGAGGAGGCCATTCAGCCCTTCGAGCCTGCTGTACCATTCTTCAGAGTCATGGCTGATCGTCCAACTCTGTAGCCTAGTCCTGCTTTCTCCCCATAACCTTTGATCCCATTGCCCCAAGTGCTATATGTAGTTGCCTCTTGAATACATTCAATGTTTTGTCATCAACTACCTCCTGTGGTAATGAATTCCACAGGCTCACCACTCTTTGGTGAAGAAATATCTCCTCATCTCCATCCTAAATCATCTACCCTGAATCCTCATACTGTGACCCTTGGTTCTGGACACACCCACCATTGGGAACATCCTCTCTGCATCTACCGTGTCCAGTCCTGTTAGAATTTTGTAAGTCTCTATGAGATCCCCCTTCACTCATCTGAACTCTAGCAAAAACAATCCCAACCTCGTCAATCTCTCCTCATAAGTCAGACCCAATTTGAAAGACTGAAAATATCTTTAGAGAATGGCATCATCACATTACAAAACAAAGTTCTTTATGCAACAGCAGAGTTGGTATTCAAGCAAATATGTTTTATGTTGTTTCAGTTATGGCAACTAAATTAACAATTAGCATGTACTTAGAAGTAACATAATATGATGGTTTCTGTTTCCTGTTTTATTCTGGTTGTTTTGAAATGAAATATGCATTTGGAGAAGAATTAAATTATGTCTGATGACTCAAGAACAAGTCAAAGTAGGCACCACATTCCTCCATCTCCCAGACGGCAAATGTAAACTCAATCCATTATTCCTGAAGGCTTTTCATCCCTGCTGTCTGGAAGCCCGAGTTCTGATTGGTGAATAGAAAGCCAGAATTCCCTCCTAAGGAAAGATTAGAGTGTGAGTGATTTTCTAGTTTTTTTTTGTGCGTTTGAGCTGTTAAAACTCTGAAAAAAAGGAACAAGAACAAGACAGCATAGATTTAAAAGTGATCTGGAAAAAACATGGGTGAAGTGAGGAAAAAAAACCTGTTCATTTAGTGAGTATTTAGGGTATGGAACGCACTTTCTGGAAATGTGGTGGAGGCAGGTTTAATTGAGGCATTCAAGACAGCTTTTCATGATTGTTTGGATAGAAACAATATTAAGGGTCTGGGGAAAAAGCAGGAGCTTGTAACTAGGTATTGATGCTCCTTCAATGAGCCAGTGCAAACACCATGGACCAAATGGCCTCCTTCTGCACCGTAATGGGTTTGTGATTCTTTGTACTTCTGATTGTTAAATAACCTGAAAAATAAAGGTTATTATTCATGTGAGACCAGTCAAGTGATGCCTGATTTTAACTCCACTTCCCTGGGAGAACTTGCATCATTTTAGTAGATATTAGACCTTGCTAACAAAACCTCTTTAAAGTGCTGTTCTTCTTGAATTACCACTCATGCATATTTGAAACTACAACCATGAATATCCTGTACATTTGATTAAATGTCTTTTATGTAGATAATGGATCTAAGGCTAAATTGTTTTGTTAATGGCTCTGAAGTGGATACGGTCTGATTATTCACTGAGATACCATTTTGTTTGTTTCAACTCAGGACTCTTGTTCAAGCTAGAATTCCACAGCTCATCCCTAATGGTAAAGTGGATCGTCCCTGTAAACAAGTCAAGGCAGCTAGAAGTCACTGATTCAATGAGCAAGTCCAGGATAATTATTTTATCCTCCCTAGCCTTCGGGTTGTGATGTACAACTAAAAGCCTTCCAAGTAGATCATATCTGAAATACAAATACAACCAGGTTGCATGAAATAGAACCCAGGCTGGCCAGAGGTTGGGGATGTCTATCCTTGAAATTGTGCTTATAACTTTGAGCATCTTGAGACTCATTTTACAATATGACACAATGAAAACTCAATCAATCAATCTAGGAGAAAGATCTCCCTTAGGCAGGCAGATACATTTCCCTGTACATCTATACATATCATACGGGCCCCTTTAGCCCTATATAATTTAGTAAAGGAAATCTGTACAAACCACCTTAGCACAGTTAAGCTTTTCTCAAATCAGGGTAGTGGTAATTCTGTGTGAAATGTCAATTTGCTAAAATTACTTTTGAGTTCCCTGAAATGTGATGATTTGAAGATCAATGATGAAAACAAATTTAAGTAGTAAATATAAATACAAAAAGGATAAATCAAAATGTTGTTAGGGTTCAAATTTGATAGGGCAGAAGTGTTGGATAGACTATTGGTACTTAAATTTGACAAGGCGCTAGGACTGGATGAGATACATCCAAGAATTTTGAAGGAGATGACAGCAGAAGTAGCTTGGGCACTGGCAACAATGTTCCAGTCATTCCTAGACTTAGGGGAGATGCCAGAAGACTGGAAAACTGCAATCAACACAATCTTGTTGTAAGGATGAGCCTAGCAATTACAGACCAATCAGTTTAACCTCAGTATGGGGGAACATCTAGAGACAGTTTATCGTTTTCGAAATAGTAGTTATGTGGAAAAAATGTGGGTTAATTAGGAACAGTCAGCATGGAATTCTGAATGGGAAATCATGTTTAATTAGCTTGCTGGAATTTTTTGAAAAGGTACCAGAAAGGCTGGATGAGCTTAACGCTGTGGATGTGGTACACATGAATTTCCGGAGGACATTTGTGCCTCACAACAGACTTGTGGGGAAAGTTATAGGTCATAGTATAACGTATACAAAAGGATACAAAATTGGCTAAGTGATAGAAAAGCATGTAATGGTGTTTGGATATTTTTCAGACTAGAGGAATGTTTGTAGTGGAGTTCCTGAGGGTCTGTACAGGAACGCATGCTTTTCCCAAAATATATTAATGATCCAGATCTTAGTGTGCAGGTGACAATTTCAAAGTTTGCAGATGACACTTACTTTGAAGAATTATAAACTGTGAGGAAGACAGTTTAGAACTCCAAAAAGACATGGACAAGTTCGAGAAATGGCTAGGTGGTTTTCATTGCAGAGAAGTGTTGGTTGGAAGGACACTGAAAGACAAGAATTAATGGGGTTCGAGTCTAAAGCGGGTGCAGCAGCAGAGAGACTTGGTGTAAATGTGCACAATCATTGAAGTGACAAGTGATGAGCTGTTAAAAACGTATACAGTATCCTTGTCTTTGTTACTAGGTGCAGAGGATAAAACAGCAAGGTGATGTTGAACTTGTGTAAGACACACTTTTTTGGACTTCATCTAGAGTGCCACATAATAGGAAGGATGTGAAAGCATTGGAGAGTGTGAAAAAGTAATTTAAAAAGAATGATTCCAGGGATGAGAAACTTCAGTCATGGGGATAGATTGAAGAAGTTAGGATTGCTCTCCTTGGAGAGAGGAAGACCATGAGGAGATTTGATACCAGTTTTGAGTGGGCTGGACAGAGTAGATAGGGAGAAACTGTCCCCACTCACAAAAGTAACACAAATGAGAAGACATAAATTTAAAGAGATTTGAAAAGAAGCAAGGAGGCTATGAGAGAAAATTTCTTCACTCAGCAAGTAGTTAGGGCATGGAGTGCACTGCCTGGAAGCATGATGGAGGCGGATACAATTGAGGCATTCAAAAGGGCACTGGATGAGTATCTGAATGAAAATATTATGCAAAGGTACAGGGATAAATCCGGAAATTGGCACGAGGTGATGTTGCTCTTTTAACAAGCTAATACAGCCACAATGGGCTAAATGACCTCCTTTTGCCTCATAAGACTTTTGTGATTCTGAAATCAAGTGTACCCCAAGACATGGTGGAAAGCTAGGGAAGAAATTGCAGGGCCCCTAGCGGAGATATTTATATCATCAACAGCCACAGGTGAGGTGCCAGAAGACTGGAGGGTGGTTAATGTTGAGCCATTATTTAAGAAAGGCTGCAAGGAAAAGACAGGGAATTACAGACCAGTGAGCCTGACGTCAGTGGTGTGTAAGTTGTTGGAGGGGATCCTGAGAGATAGGATCTACATGCATTTGGAAAGGCAATGACTGATTAGGAATAGTCAGCATGGCTTTGTGCATGGGAAATAGTTGTCTACATGAACTTTAGCAAGGCCTTCAACAAGGTTCTGAGGTTAGTAAGGTTAGATGACATGGGATCCAGGGACAGCTAGCCAATTGAATACAAATTTGGCTTGATGGTGGGAGACAGGGTGGTGGTAGAGGGCTGTTGTTTAGACTGGAAGTGTGTGACCAACGGTGCGCTGCATGGATCAGTGCTGGGTCCACTGTTAGTTTGTCATTTATATAAATGAATCGGATGAGAATATAGGAGGTATGCCTAGTAAGTTTGCGGATGACACCACAATTGATGGTAAAATGGACAGTGAAGAAGGTTATCGAAGAGTACAATGAGATCTTGATCAACTTGGCCAGTGGGTTAAGGAATTGCAGATGGAGCTTAATGCAGATAAATGCAAGTTGTTGCATTTTGGTAAGACAAATCAGGGCAGGACTTACACAGTTAATGATAGGGCCCTGGGAGTGTGACAGAGAGACTTAGGGGTGCAGGTACACAGATCCTTGAAACTGGCATCACAGATAGACAGGGTGGTGAAGAAGGCATTTGGCATGCTTGCCTTCATCAATCAGAGCACTGAGTACAGGAGTTGGTATGTCATGTTACGGCTGTACAAGATATTGATAAGGTCACATTTGAAGTACTGTGTGCAATTCTGGGTGCCCTGCTACAGGAAGGATGTTATTGAACTCGAAAGGGTGCAAAAAGATTTACAAGGATGCCACTGAGACTGGAGGGTTTGAGATAGAAGGTGGAACATCAGAAGCTGAGGGGTGGCCTTATAGAGGTTTATAAAATCATGAGGGGCATAGCTAAGGTGAATAGTCAAGGTCTTTACCCGAGGGTAGGAGAGTTGAAAACTAGAGGGCGCAGGTTTAAGGTGAGAGGGAAAAGATTTAAAAGGGACCTGAGGGGCAACTTCTTCATACAGAAGGTGGTGCGTTTATGGAACGAGCTATCAGAGGAAGTTGTAGAGGCGGGTATAATTATACCATTTAAAAGAAATTTGGACAGGCACATGGATAGGAATGGTTTAGAGTGACATGGGCCAAATGTGGGCAAATGGAACTAGTTCAGTTCAGGAAACCTGATTGGCATGGACAAATTGGGCCGGAAAGTCTATTTTGGTGCCGTATGACTCTACAAAAAAAATTTCAAGGAAAACATAAAACAGCAAGCCCAAACATGAAAACTAAGTAATCTTGAGCTGGCCTACCATTGCTTTAAAAAGCAAATCAAATGTCAGGATGGGCCTTCGATCACAATTATATTTGTTCAAAGGTTTGGAATGCTGGCTGCACATTTCATAAACAAACACTGGGAAGCCATAGTGAAGCAATTTTAATTTTTTTATTAATTACTAGTTAAGTATTAATAATGCTTCCCAAACCATCAGTGGCAGCATGCAGTTTTCAAAATAGCCCATCTTCCAAGAAAGCGCAGGCTGCTGTGAGGATTCAAAGTTCTGTTCCTAGGCTGTACTAACTCCCCTGCTGGTCATGTATGTGCAAGTTGCACAGAAGATCATTTGGGTTTTGAACTATTCAAAACAATCATGGTTGAATATTTACTTCAACTATTTGTCAGATCTTGTCCTTACCTTCGGGCCCTTCAGGAAGTGTGCTACTGTAGTTGTTGAAGTTGTTGTAATTCATGCCATATTGGGTGCTAAAGCTGGTTGCCTGGCTGTTGACGGGATGCAAGGGAATTGTACCAATAACAATTGGTAACTTAACATCTAAATTGAATGAGCCTGGGACATGTAAATATACCTAAGAAAGTGAAAAACAAACCTTTAAGGATTTTTTGAAAACATGTTATCGCCAACAACTAATTTTTCATGAAGGGTCTAGGCCCGAAACGTCAGCCTTCCTGCTCCTGTGATGCTGCTTGGCCTGCTGTGTTCATCTAGCTCTACACCTTGTTGTCTCAACTAATTTTTCAAACTCAGTGGTTTCCTCTACTTTTGCTTTGCATATAGCAGCCTATGCCAGAGAGTGTTTCTGTATTTCACGTCAACCTATTCAAGAGACTATCTTTATGCAAGACTACACAAAATGTTGGATTGTACCACTGCTTACCTCATTACCAGAAAACTCCTCAAATGGAATGTACAAATTTCCATCAGATTGATATTTCAATTTGTGATATAATTATTCACAAGAACTTTAGCATTCCTGCCTATAAGCCAAAAGAATCAAGGTTTGTGATTTCTGCTGTGATCTCTAGAGTATCTTACCAAGCTCAGCTAATTACTGACTTCAAAAACTTATGTCTGTTCTCCATTTTCTTTATACTCTCTCTCCCCACAGCCTTGTCTTGTTTACTTTGTTCCTGCCAGACAGGACCTATTCCCTCCCTTTTACAGCTTAATTTATACATATTTTACATCTATTTTCCCAACATTAACAACACCTTTACCTTTCGTACTGAACCTCTGCCTTTGTCAGAAGTATATGAAAAAACATTTCCAACACCTTTCAGTTCTGTAGAAGTATCACACCAGATGTGAAAAGTTCATTCTGTTTCTCTCTCCAGGAATACTGATAGATCTACTGAGTTTCTCCAGCATTGAGTTTCTTTTATGTTTCCAGCATCGCAGTATTTTGCTTAAAATCACCTCTTCAACTACCTTTCATGCCTTTGTCGGTAGTACTCAGCGAATATCTTTTAACTCAGCAGGATGGCTCACACCAAGTCATTTTTAAAAGCCTTAGAGATAGTAAGAACTGCCGATGCTGGAGTCAGAGATAACATAGTGTGGAGCTGGAAGAACACAGCAGGCCAGGCAGCAACAGAGGAGCAGGAAAGCTGACATTTTGGGTCAGGACCCTTCTTCCGAACATTTTCGGAAGCTGTAAAAGGGAGGGAATAGGTCCTCTCTGGCAGGAACAATGTAAACAAGACAAGGCTATGGGGAGAGAGCGTATAAGGAAAATGGAGAACAGAAGTTTTTGAAGTCGGTAATTTGAAGGGTCCCGACCCGAAACATCAGCTTTCCTGCTCGTCTGATGCTGCCTGGCCTGCTGCGTTCCTCCAGCTCCACACTGTGTTATTTTTAAAAGCCTGTTGTGCATCCAGTCACTGTCAGTTCAGAACTGTCCTGCAGAATTCTTGACATTTGCACAGATTTGCAGGCAAGGGGGAAATTGTCAGCCAGTTTTACTGGCAGCAATCTGGAGGTACTGGTTGATTTGATGTTGTACAGGTGGAACATCCTCATCCCCTAGAACAGTAGAACCCATGACACCAGACCACACCAGCCCAGTCTGAGTTTGCCACTCAGGTCTTTGCAGTCTCATACATATAGAGGAAACATGGCAAAGTAGGAAGATGGTCAATGACTTTCTACACTCAGCCAGCATAAATGCCATCTCTCTGATTTCTCACACTCACTCTACCTCTGTAACTGTACCCACTTCCCAGCAAGGCTCATGCTCTACCATTCTCACTATTGCCGGCAATATCTTCCCTCACTTGCTGTCACTCATCCCAGCCCATGACACCACTAACCCAGTGTGCCCTCTGCACTGTCTAATCACTCACTCTGGCCATCTCCACACCTGCACCAAAAGCAACAACTGTGCCACCCATTTTTATCTCTTTCATTCCATAATAACTGTCCTTCTCTCACCCCATGAGGGGAAAAAAAAACCCAACAGGATTGAAAGACTGAAGACTGGTGGCATCCTGACTGATGTTCAGCTCTTTATCCCTCATGTTAAGAGCATCCTGACTTTGACTGCCCAGATGGCTGACTGATCATGTCCTGGACTGGTATTGAGGGCTCCCCTTGGTTCACAGTGCCAAGACTCTTAGATGAAGGCTATTGCCTTGACAAGGCTTTGATTTGACTGAGGCCTGCTAACAATCATTACAAACTTCCTTCCTTATTAGAACTAAAACAGTAATTGAAAAGCCAAGTACCGTAAGTGAGTATTCCATTTGAATAATGCTGCAGTTCATCAGTGTGGGAGTCACTGCTGGAATTTTCAGTTCCACTCCATTCCAGCTCTCTGATTTTCCAGCTAACACTGGTTCTCCCTCTATTTTGGTTACCAGGTCTGTGACCCTGTTTTTCTTTCCTTGAGCATGGAAAATCTGTGTCTTATAAATGGCTGCCTTTGGAACCACTTTGCGGGAAGAGTTATTCTCAATTTCAGCAAATATTCGAATTGATTCACCTGCAGAAGGAATAAAACCCAAAATGTATATTCTTTTATATCCCATCTGAACTCCACAGCAGTTTAGGTGTAAAGGAAATAAAGTCATTAAGTAAAATGGGAATTAATTGGGACTATAACAATGGAGGGTAGGGGTTGGGTTGTAAATTCTACAAGCCTTTAAGATAGGTTCAATGTTATCTGAATTGGCTCGGGGTTTTGTCTTGGGTGATGGGCAGGGATCATGAAGTGGCAGGTAAGATGAAGGGAAAGAAAATCCCACCTACATGCTTGAGGCCACAGAGTCACAAGTTCGTCACTGGCCGATGCCATTTAGCATCAGGTACTCTTACAACAGACGCACAGTTCTGCAAGTTGAATAATTCAAGAATGGGGTTGAGCCAGAAGTTAAGCCAAACTCTCCCATTTTGTGTGTATTGGGAAAACAAAAGGAAAATTCATGCTCAAAGTTAGATTCTCACAAAGATTGCCCTGTGAAGCAGCAAACAGGTACACTTCCTTCAAGAAGGAAGCGAGGATAGGATTAGGTAGCCAGCTAGGTTTCAAGGGGGGAAATAAAAGGCTCTTAATATGAATCATTGTTAACTTATTAAATGGGTTATCATCAGCATTTCTGCTTTTTTCTTTATTGTGTGGACCCCTGAGATTCATGCGTGGCAGCAACTTCTGGAACCAGAAGTTAATGCTGCACATGGCACATCAATTAGATTGATTGTTATCCAAAAGCTGCTACCTTCACTGCTGTGCTGACACTAGGTAAAACTATTTTAACATTACTGTGAATTTATGAACACAATTATCCCATCGATCTGATATGTGGGAAACACTTCACCAGAATCTATGCTTAATCACTTTTAAATTCAATTTCACAAAATGATAGGTTAACATAAATTACCCTCAGCTGCTAAAATCAGTAAAGTCCCCATCACATGTCTTGGGCTGAGAAGTAATACGTGAATAATCAACATAAATGGGACAAGAAAAAAAAATTTTGGGCAGGAAGGAGCAATATCCTTAGGTTTACAGTGTGGGTCTGACCTAGAGAGTTAAAAGGAAGAAAACCTCCACACCTACAGTAAGGCTGCAAGTCATTGTGTCTCCCTTTCTTCACTCAAGTTCTTGGGAAGCTGATGAGGTTTCCAAACCTCAGTGTTGTGACTACCTTGCAAACCTGGAGAAGTTGAACTGTACCATTATGCAAAGATTTGATCCAGCTTGATTTCCATCTGAACTGAAGTCTTGCTTGGAAGATCTTCCATTGGTTTGTAACAGTCCACAATTTGATTTCATCAACAAAAGAACCAGTGGACTTTGAGAATTCATTAATTTTATTTTTTGTTTTTCCCATCATTGGTCACCCAGGAACTTACTCCCTTCATGAAATTTAATCTCTGTAGTGCTTTTTTCAGTATTTTGCGCATGCAAGTTCGAGTTTTGGAAGTAATAGAGGATTTTGTTCAAATTCCAGATTATAGTTTAGAAGTTTCGCCACTTTTCATTAAGACTGTGTTTTATTTTATAATGAATGGATTGGTTTTAGTTCATTAAAAGAAACTGGTGCAAGTCTATTCTATTCTGGATAGCAATATAGAGGGAAACAATTGGCAGTTTTGGTGACTAAGACAAAACATTTACCCTCATGGTATGACTCATGGAGTAATTAGCTTGACTACAATTTGATTCGTCCCATCACAGTCACAACAGCACTCAAGCTCTATACCACGAAGCAACATTTTTCAATTATCATGAATATACAAATTAGATGCCAGGTAACTCAAGCCATAAAATAAACACATGGTAAATATAAATATTTTATATGCTTATATATAAATAAACAACAAGATAGTGTGTCAAAATATAATGTGGGCTACAGAAGTAATTGACTGTGATTAAACAGACAGTCCCTGCACATGAAAATCTTTCTATATTATATTCCTATAGATACTCACAGTATGATAGAGTTTTCAGATTTTTACCTGATGTGTAGCCCTTGCGTTCAATTTTGGCATTCAGGGATATTGGGCCTGAGGCACAACAGCAGCAACAAATAGTTTTCTCATCTGAAGCAGTCTGTGGTGACTGTAAAAAAATGAACAGAAAGCACAGTAAATACTTCTGCTTCAAGAAAGTTGAACATTTCTTCAAGATGGCCAATTATTTTCTCTCTTTGCGGAATGAAGCAGCATCATTGATCTATTTCTTTTAAAAGATCCAAAAGGTTTTGTTAATAAATAACACACAAAATAAATCTTTTATTAATAGTAAAATACCCAAATATCTCTAACTATAATTATTTTTGAGTCAAGCTAAGTATGATTTGTTGAAAGCACACTGACCTCGATGTTTAAGGGGATATGGTGAGTATGATGACTGAGAATATTTGAAGTACCCAACAAAGTTGGAAGAAGCACTGTTTGGCTTAACTCCAAGATCTCATCATCATTGCATTCTTCTGATTCTGGCCTGGCAGCCAGACAAGTTGACAACTTGACCAACTCCTGGACTGGTAAAGCAGCAGCAGGAGTCCACAGTCAGGGGATTTTGGGAGTTTCTAGCAATCATGGGGGCATGGAGGTTAGATGACAGAAGTCACCAGTGATTGTGCTGTGGAGATCAATGTTTGGGCTTAGCAGCGTAGGGTAAAGTGGACAATAATTGCAGCTGAGAGACATTGGCATTTGGGTTTGGATGAGAGAAGCTGTCAATTATGATGGTATGAGAGAGATATTACAATTTACAGAGGAGAAGGTGAATGCTTCCTTGAAGGCCTAAATAGGGAGCACTCCTGCTGTTCTTTGTCCACAAGGAATGCTCAAAAGATGCTTAGTCTGTGAAGCCAGCAGGTCCCACCTCCTTTCTGTATTAAGTAACCTGAGCCCATTGGCAATCATCTATAAAAGTTAAATAAGTTTGTCAATTGTGCTGTAGAAACAAAGGAGTAAAAGTAGACCATTCAGCCACTTGCGCCTAATGTAAATATCCTTATGTTTATATACAGATCGTCCTGTCAGTGTGATGTTTGCTCATCATAAAAGTTTCAAATTTTCTCCTAACCCACCCCAGGCTTTTTCCTGTCCATCATGGAAACGTATCAAATTTATTCATTCTTTCAGATTGAATAATGCTGGTCTTGGTACCTGATGCGCTGATCAACAATCATACTCCTCCATCCACCACATTAATGAACATTTAAAGACGCTCACACTCACAGAATCACTGCTGTGAAAGTTTTACATTTATTCTCAGCACATTTGAAGAAACTATGACAATTCAGCTGGGAACAGTTTGTTTCAGCTTCATACTATTGCCAAGGAAAAGGATGGAGTCCAGTGTCTGAAGAATGTATTTTGGGGACCAAAGAAAATGGCTTTTATCTTCACATTAGTTAGACATTATTTTTTCTCATCCATTAGGGGGTACCAGACTGTGTGTGAGAACTGAAAGACAATGGAGAGGTTGGTAAAGGTGATGGTTCAATATATCTGAGTGATGCAGAAATACATGTAGAAACTGATTCTGCTGAAGGCAAAATGTAGATGGAAAATAGAATAGGGCCAAGGATAGATCATTGGGAGACATCAAAAGAAACAATACAGGAATAAGAGAAGCCATTGCCGATGATTCTCTGGCTAAAATTAACTAGATATGAACCACCCAAGTGGACAACGGTGGTATGGTGTTGAAGTAGGATGCAGCAATCTAACATGTTGACAAATGACAAGTATGAGGAGGGATAGTTTGCCTATGTCACAGCACATAATACTTTGGTAACAGCTGTTACATACAGAAAAATGTTAGCCTTGTGAAAACCAAACTGAAGAGGTTTAAACATAAAAGTCTGAGCACAGAATGAGAGGCAAAAACATCTTCAATGACTTTGGAGAGGAAAGGGTGGGTGTAGGCGAGGTGATAGATGACAGCAAATTTGAAGGAAAAACGTTATAATACCCAAGGAAAGAGACTTTTAATAACATGAGCTAACCTAGCAGCAAGAAAGGGAAATTTTGTGGTCAGCAGTTTAGTCAGTCTCATGGACAAGGCAAGCCAAGCCTGAAGAGGACGTGAGGAGAGATGAGGGGACATACATTTGTGAAGAGAAAAAGATGAGTTAACATAAATGTAGGTGCCTTACAGTCAGAAACAGGGAGGTTATAATGGGGAACAAAGAGAAGGCAGACCAATTAAAAATATATTATGTTTCTGTCTTCATGAAAGGAAGACACAAATAATTTCCCAAAATTGTCGGGAAATGCAGGGTCTAGTGACAGGGAGGAACTGAAATAAATCAGTGTATGTAGGGGGATATTATTGGGGAAACTGATGGGATTAAAGGCCAATAAATCCCTGGAGCCCAAGATTCTATATCCCAGAGTACTCACGTAAGTGGTCCTAGAAATAGTGGATGCATTGATGGTCATCTTCCAGGATTCTCTAGACTCTGAAACAGTTTCTATGAATTGGGCCGAATGTCATCAAGCTGTTTAAAAAAGGAGATAGAGAGAGAGAGCAGGGTATGATAGACTGATGAGCCTGACATCGGTAGTGGGGGAAATGCTAAAGTCCATTAGAAAATATTTAATAACAGAGCACTTGGAAAACAGTGACAGGATTGGACAGATTCAGCATGGATTTATGAAAGGTAAATCATGCCTTGCAAATCTTTTGGAATTTTTCAAAGATGTAACCAGTACAGTTGATAAAGGAAGCGCCAATGGATATTGTTTAACTGTACATACAGAAGGCTTTTGATACAGTCTATCATAAGAGATTAGCATGCAAAATTAAAATGCATGGGTTTGGGATAGTGTACTGACTTGGATACAGAACAGGTTGGCAGACAGGAAACAAAGAGTAGGAATAAATGGGTCTTTTTCTGAGTGTCAGCCAGTGACTAGTGGGATACTGCAGGGTTCAGTTTTTCGATTCCAGCTATTAACAATATATATTAAATAATGTAGATAACAGAACTAAATGTAAATCTCCAGGTTTGCAGGCAACACAAAGAGAATGGGAGGGTAAGCTGTGAAGGGGATGCAAAGATTTGGATAGGTTGAATGAGTGGGCAACTGCGTGGCACATGAAGTATAACGTGGACAAATGTGAGATTATCCCGTTTGGTAGCAAAAACAGGAAGGTAGATTATGATCTGAATGGTGAGAGATTGAGAAAGGGGGAGGTGCAATGAGACCTAGGTGTCCTTGTATACCAGTCACTTAAAATAAGCATGCAGGTACAGCACGCAGTGAAGAAGGCAAATGGTATGTTGGCCTTTATAGTAAGAGGATTTGAGTCCATAAGCAGGGATGTTTTGCTTCAAATGTTCAGGGCCTTGCTGAGACCATACATGGAGTATTGTGTGCAGTTTTGGTGTCCTTACCTGAGGAAGGATGTTCTGGCTATGGAACGAGGGCAATGATGGTTTTGCAGACTGATTCCTGGAATGGCAGAACTGACGTATAGGAAATGACTAGATCGGTGAGGGCTATATTCACTGGAATTTAGAAGAATGAGGGAACATCTTATAGAGATCTATAAAATTCTAACAGGACTAGACAAGGTAAACGCGGGAAGGATGTTCCTGGTGTCCAGGGAGTCCAGAACCAGGGATCACAATTTAAGGATATGGGCAGGCCATTTCGGACTGAGAAAAGAGGTGAAATTCCTTCACCTTGAGAGTGGTGAGCCTGCTTCTTTTCAAGGAGTTAGATATGGATTTTAGGGCTGAAAAGATCAAAGGATGGGGGGGAGTGCGGGAACAGGGTACGAATTAGATGATCAGCCATGATTACATTGAATGATACAGCAGCCTTGAGGGGCCAAATGGCCTACTTTTATTTTCTTTATTCATTCATGGGATGAGGGCATCACTGGCTAGGCAGCATTTATTGTCCATCCCTAATTGCCCAGAGGGCAGTTAAGAGTCAACCACATTGTTGCGGGTCTGGAGTCACATGTAGCCAGACCAAGTAAGGGCAGCAGTTTCCTTCCCTAAAAGACATTAGTGAACCAGATGGGTTTTTCCAGACAATCAGCAATGGATTCATGTCCAGATTTTATTTTTATTGAATTCAATTGCCACCATTTGCCCTGGCGGGAATTTAAACCTGGGTCCCCAGAACATTACCCAAGTGTCTGGATTAACAGTCCGAACAATAATACATTAGGCCATTGCCTCTCTGTGCTCCTATTTTCTATGTTTCTATGTAACTTCAGTGAAAGAACTATGAAACTACTGGAAAAAATGGCATTTAGGGTGTACTAGTTAAATTTCTGCAACTTTTTTGGTGAACTAAGAGCAGACGAACCACGGAACTCTGCAAAAATGTATCCCTTCAATAACTTGCAATGATATGCCGATGTATTAATTTCTACAATGAAAAATATCTGAGACCCCTTCCAGTACCAAACACTATATCTGCAATACATATTTTAAATGACTGTTTAGATAGCCTTCAGTTTTTAGATCCTAGCTATTCACAATATATATCAAATGATGTAGATGAGAGAACGAAATGTAAAACTCCAGGTTTGTACCTTCATGAATTGCTTGAAATTGCATGTTTGTTTGTTTGCTGGTTTTTAAATACAACTCTAATATTTATATGATTCAATTCATAAGACTCTGCTCTTTAGTGCCTTGGCTGACCAGAGACTGTCAGACTAGGTTTTGACAGTGGAAACCCAAAGCACAGATGCTAATAGTTGGTTACCATCTCTGGTTTACCATCAAAATTTATTGTCAAAATTTGAAAGAGGTTACCAACAACGATGGAGCATTAATGTCAATCTGGTCAAGTACTGTAAACATTTCTTTCACTTTAATTCTCAGTTTCCATGGCCTGTGCAGTTTGGCTGTCATCCAATAGCTCACGTTGCCATGAGGACCTTTGAAGGTGGCAGGAAGTGGCGGTCTGTCAAGGAGATAAGACATCATGAGGCATCTGTGGCACACATTAGGTTGCTAATTTAAATTGACTAACATCAATAAAATAACAGGCAATACCAAACGTTGATGAAAGGATCAGTCTTGAAGTGATGCCGTGGATTCTGATTAGACATCAGTTTATTATTCCCACTTGGTTTTGCAGTTTCCAGTTCTCTACTTAGAACATATTGCACAGAACAGTCCATACTCCATGTGAGCCTCCCCACCATCTCTCCTTACCAGTCTCAGCATAACCCACTACTCCCAACTCCTTGATCTTCCCTATCTAGTGTTCCCATAAATACATCTATACTAATTGTCTTGACCAATCCCCATGTTAATAAATTCTATTTTCACCATTTGTTGCGAAGATGTTTCTGTTGCATTCCTGATTAATTTATTGGTGACCAGATTATATTTATGGCCTTAGTTTTGCTGTTTCTTCAACTGGAAATATTCTCTTTATATCTACTTTATTGAAACCATTCATAATTTTATTGACCTCTGTTAGGTTATCCCCTAGCCTTCTCTTTTCAAGACAATACAAACCAGACCATACTGTTCATTTTCTCCTATTGGATTTAAGAACACATTTCTGATGCTATTTTTCCAGTGATTTTCAGTGTGCTACCCCAGTGAGTGGTGACATTTCTAAGAAGTGAATTCTTTAATTTTCATAAAAAAATCAATATAGCATCTCATACTGTGTCTGTTGAAATTAATTTTCTAATTAAGTGCTCATTCTGCAAGCATATCAAGGTTACTTAATTTATTATAGTCCTTTTTAATATTCATTATTGCAACCCCTCCCTCACTAAAGTTTGTTGGCTATAGACTTAGAATGTGTGCTTTTGACTTCAAAGCCTAAATCATTAACATTAATTGTGAACAGCAATGCCTGTAGCACTGATCCCTATGAAGATTTACTCGAATGTTGCCAGGGCTGGAGAATTGGAGACCAGTTTGGGTTATTCCAGATGAGACCCTGTGTTTGAGTTATCACCAAGGCTGAAGAAGCACACTGCTGTTCTAGTCGAGTGCTCTACTGGCCATAACTTAAGATTAAAATATATTACTTTATTGTCGAGATGACCAATTAAATACCTTACCTATACCAGTTTCTCAGCAGAAGTGCCAAGTAGATGATACATCTCGGCCTCCCTCTAAGGTTTCAGGCATTTTAGATTGATACTTTATGTGATTTTAAAAATGTATTTATAGGTCATGGGCACCACTGGCTGGGCCAGCATTTATTGCCTGGCTCTATAACAGCCTTTGAGGAGGTAATGATGAACTGCCTTCTTGAAGTACTGCAGTCCTTGTGGTGTTAGAATATGCAAAGTACCAACAGGAAGGGAGTTCCTGGACTTTGATCTTGTGTACAGACTGCATTACTTAATTTCTTTTCATTCTTGATTGTGGACTAAAATGGACAGTGAAACTTTTTAAAATCAAGGACATTGAAAGAAATTGATACATTTTCTACCAGCCAATTGCAAGAATTCATTGCAATGTCACAACTATTTTTTTGAAAAAGTGAATCCTACAATAGCACTCATACAAAACCAAGCTTGGGCATCCTTCTCCAAAGTTCTGAATTTTGCTGCCTCCCAAATCCATTGCTATCTTTCTCAGAACTCCATGTTTGAATTGGTCCAATCAACTATCATGGAACATTTTTTTATTCATTCATGGGATGAGGGCATTGCTAGCTATGTTGGTATTTATTGTCCATCCCTAACTGCCCAGAGGGTATTTGAAAGTCAACCACATTGCTGTGGGTTTAGAATCACATATAGGCCAGACCAGGTAAGGATGGCAGTTTCTTTCCCTAAAGGACATTAGTGAACCAGATGGGTTATTCCTGACAATTGCCAATGTGCTCATCATTACACTCTTAATCTTAGATTTTTTTTAATTGAATTCAAATTCAAACATCTGCCATCTGCAGGATTTGAACCTGGGTCCCCAGAACATTACCTGGATCTCTAGATTAACAGTCTAGCAAGAATACCACTAGGCCATCACCTCCCCAGCTCTTGCCAACATCCGCTGTATCATCCTGTATTACAGACACAGTTAACTGCACCATCTTCCTTTAAAGTCATGCTTTACAATTCTTACCTGATTTCCTTCATTCCACCACACGCCACCATTCCTTCAACTGTCTGGACCAGGAGCTCTGGAATACCCTCCTTAAACCTCATCTGCCTCTCATTCCTTATCCTAAACACTCACCTGCTTCTGTCTAAATACCTGACTCCTTGTAATGAGTTGACAAATCTCGACCAATAATGATGTTGTGATGTGCTTTGGGAAGTTTTATTGTTTTAGAAGGTGTTATATAAATGCAAGTTAGTGTTGTAAAGTCACTGCCTCACACAGCCTTTCCATCCCTTCGATCTTCAGTTTGTGACTGTATCTCTCAGTGTGTGTCTGCAGTGACAACTCCTATATTGCAATACGAAACATCTGCTACTTCCTCTGAGACAGGAAGCAGCCAGAGATAATCTACACTGTCAAACATCGTGTGGACTACAAACTACCACCTCTCCCCACCCCTTCCAGACTGGAACTGTCAAACCCATATCTAGCCCACACCATATACAATCCAAATTCAAACACCTGAACCTCTCCTGTATAAATCACAAAGTAATTTTACTTTAAAAGTGATACAATTCAATCAGAATCTAGAAATTTAATGATGAAGAAAGCAAACTATGAAGGTGTGAGGGCAAAGTTTGCTGTGGTATTTTGCAAAACTGTATTCGAAGGTCTGATCGTAGACCAGCAATGCCTAACATTTAACTTGAGAAACAGGAGCAGGAGTAGACTGTACATTCCTGCTGAGACAGTTTTACCATTTGGTACAATCATGGCTGACATTCAGCTTCAAATGCATTTTCCTGCCAGCTCCCTATATCCCTTGATTTCCTGAGGAAACAAAAATCCACCTATCCCAGCTTTAAATTCAATTCAAATCGCTTCAGGATTTTATACTTTTCCACAAGATCACCTCTAATTCTTCTAAACTCTGGAGAACATTGACACCATTTACTAAGCCACTTGTAGGACAGCCCTCTCATCCCAAAGGCTAAACTAATGAATGTTCTCTGCATCATCTCCAATGTACATACATCCTCCTTAAACCAGGAGATCAGAACAGCACACAGTACTCAGGTGTGGTCACAGCAGAACAGGACACAGTACAAGTGCAGCAAGACTTTGTTCTTCCTGTTCTCCAATCCTCTTGCAATAAAGACCAACATCAAGTAATTGTGCCATTTTGAAGTTTCGCAAATTGCACAACATGATTGGCTGCCTGCTCAGAAATTGCTTGAAAAATCTCATGGAATAACAGCTGCCTAACATGATGGCACTGTAATAATGCACAATAATATCACAGAGAACAGGTGGAATCAATCCTGCAAAAAGTTGGTAATGCTCTGTCAATTAAGTCTTACAAGTGAAGACTTGATAAAATATCTTCTTGGCAAAAGGCCTGCAAGTTGTTGAGTTAAATGAATGATACACAGAAGGAAGCCATTCAACTCTTTATGCTTGAGTCAGCTCTGTGATGGGTCTGTCCCATCAGTCTTCACTGCTTGTCACATTCTCTGCAAAGAGTCATGAAACATTTTTGTCCATAGAATTTTACTCTTTAGGATGTTGCAATTGAATATGTTTACAACAGCCTTTCAGGCACACATTCCAGATCAATATAAAGCCCCAACAAAATCACCTCTTTTTCTGTTGCCAATTATCTGAGATAGTGGTCTCCATGTCCATTTTGGAAATGAACTGACTTTATCTATTGTGACCCATCCACAAAGCACACACAATTTCAGCTCCAATAACCTGCATTCTGTTTTTCTTCAGCAATCAGTGGTATTACCATCAAAATATTTTTGAAAATGTTGATCAGATGCACCACGAACACTGAGAATGTGATGCTGATGTGGAGTTCAGAGGCCTCTCACAGCCATTCTCCAGCCTACTTCAAACTGATTCCATAGAGTTCACTCTCGTTAACAAAATTACCCAGAGTTGAATTGCCTGAGGTCAGGGCTCTCGAATGAAGAAGGACCTCTCCACTTTGAAAATACCACCTGATTCTGTTAAATAGAATTACAATTATATTCCCCTTAAAATACATGCCGTTTTTAGCTTGTCTGTACTATGTTGTTTAATTTTGTTTTTATCTATCTAGTCTAACCCTTATTTCCCTAAAGAATTAGGGATAGAAACCTTTTAGCAATTTGTCTTTTGGCTGAAAAGTGATGTTGCTTTAAATTCCTTTTGCTGTGAAACTAAGTTGCTTTGTACCAAAATAAAAGGCGTTAGACATTGTCCAGCTGAGATTTGCTGGTCTGGGGGAAGGACTGTGAGATACTGATGCAGATGTGCAGGTCACGCTGCGATCACGGCCAATGTCCACCGCATTTCCCCAGAACCAGACTGCAGGGGAGTGAGGGTCAAGGCACAACAAACTGCTAAAGGGGGCTGTATCGCTGACACCATTCAGGCACGTTAAGGCCCACTTTCAGAGGCTGACTGGAGCTTTGGGAAACAGGCTAACTGCTTGAAGGTGACAGACCTAGGGCCCAGTGAAGCTTTAAGGCTCTCCCTTTCAGCCTTCTTCAGCTCTTAGCTGTAAGCTACCATGTGAAGGGCATGTCCTTCCATAGAGTGGACTGGTTTATTATTTAATATTTTAAAATGTCAGAGAGGGAATCTTTCAATCTCATCTGAAAAGGTGCTTATTGCTTTTTGAGTGGAGAAGGCCTCACAGAAACATAAAAAAAAGGAGCTCGGTTCATTTCTTGGACCATTGAGTATTGTTGGGATGTCATGTTGAGATGATACAGGACGTTTGTGAGGCCACTTTTAGAGTACTGTGTACAGTTCTGGTCATCCTGCTATAGGAAGGATATTTCTAAATTGGACAAGGTTCAGAAAAGATTTACAAGGATGTTGCTGGGACTGAAAGGTTTGAGTTATAAGGATAGGTTGGGACATTATTCACTGGAGCATAGGAGGTTGAGGACCCTTACAGAGGTTTATAAAATCATAAGGGGCATCGATAAGGTGAATGGCAAACATCTTTTCCCTAGGGTGGGTGAGTTCAAAACTAGGGGACATATTCTTAAGGTGAGAGGAGAAAGATTTAAAAGGAACCCGAGGAGCAGCCTTTCCACACTGAGGGTGGTTCATATGTGGAATGAACTGCTAGAGGAAGTGGGAGATGCAGGTACAGTTACAACATTTCAAAGATATTTGAACAGGTAAATGAGCAGGTTGTTGGGTCTCAAGTTGTGTGTGGTTTGTGGATGGGCCTCAAAAATAAAGCCAGTTCATTTCCAAAATGGACACGGAGACTAACTACTATCTCAGATAATTGGCAATAGAAGAAGAGGTGATTTTGTTGGGGCTTTATATTGATCTGGAATGTGTGCCTGAAAGGCTGTTGTAAACATATTCAATTGCAACATCCTAAAGAGTAAAATTCTTTGGACAAAAATGTTTCAGGACTGTCGGCAGAAAATGAGACAAGCAGTGAAGACTGATGGGACAGACCCATTACAGAGCTGACACTAGCACAAAGGGTTGAATTGGCTTCCTTCTGTGCATGATTCATTTAACTCAACAACTTGCAGGCCTTTTGCCAAGAAGATATTTTATCAAGTCTTCATTTGTAAGACTTAATTGACAGAGCGTTACCAACTTTTTGCAGGTTGATTCCACCTGTTCTCTGTGATATTATTGCGCATTATTACAGTGCCATCATGTTATTCCATGAGATTTTTCACGCAATTTCTGGTCAATTGTTGGAAAAACCCATCTGGTTCATTAATGTCCTTTAGGGAAGGAAACTGCCATCCTTACCTGGTCTGGCCTACATGTGACTCCAGACCCACAGCAATGTGGTTGACTCCTAACTGCCCTCTCAGCAATTAAGGATGGACAATAAATGCTGCCTAGCCAGCGACACCCTCATCCCATGAATGAAAGGTTTAGAAGGATAGGGAGCAAACGCAGGTAAGTGGGACAAGTTTAGTTTGGGAAACTTGATCAGAATAGTCTGTTTCCATGCTGTATGCTTCTATGATACGATTGAGGTATACAAAAATGTAAGGGGTAGAGATAGAGTAGACAGGAGGAACCTGTTGCCCTTGGCAGAGAGTTCAAAAACCAGAGCTTAGAAATTCAAGATAAGTGGCAAAAGGATTACAGGGAGGTAAGGAAATCTTCTTTACGCAGAAGATGTCTGGTGTCTGGAATTTGCTGCCTGAGTTGGTGGTGGAGGAGGAGATCCTAAACTCTTTCGTACAGAACCTGGACCTGCACCTTTAGTGCTGTAAGCTGCAGGGCTATGGGCCATGTGGGGGAAGATGGGCATTTTAGAAAGGGCATCTGGTATATCATTGCTATCTTTCCATCCTCCCTCGTTCTTTAAACTCCACTGAGTATAGATTCAGAGTCCTCAACCACTCCTCATATGATAAGCCCTTCATCCCAAGGATCATTCTTTTAAGCCTCCCCTGAACCTTCTCCAATGTCAGTGCATCATTCCTTTGATGGATAATTTGTACAAAGCTCAGAGAGAGGTGTAAGAGGTCACTTTCTCTGATTTCTTTTTACTGTGGTGGTAGTCTCGGTAAAGGTTGGATGCTTTACATCAAGAGAGGTTGCTGTCTAAGGTATTTTAAAAATTGTTCTTCATTCAGCATTCTAGGACCTACACACATACTTAGATTTAGCATAAAGTATACATAATAACTTGTGTCTTTAAAGTTTTTCTATCATGTGACCTCTTGCATTACTGCTGATGTAGTTTACTCCTTACTCTGCAATTTCTGCTGACAGTATATTGGAATGTAAAAATTCCAGCCACTGGTGAGGGGAATGGAGTTTATCTTCATTTTTTTTTGTTTTAGGGAACAGCTCTGAAAGTTTGACAGTAAAGGAGCAGGGGTTCTCAAGGTTAGGAATATTGAAATGAGGAAAGGAAATTTTGCAGAACTGCAGAAGGTGGATCTCAGGCAGAAAGACAGAAATTTCTGCAGAAACTCAGCAGGTCTGGCAGCATCTGTGAAGAGAAGCAGCGAAGAAAGGTCACCGGACCCGAAACGTTAACTCTGCTTTCGTCCACAGATGCTGCCAGACCTGCTAAGTTTCTCCAGAAATGTCTATTTTTGTTTCAGATCTCCAGCATCCAGAATAGGCACTTGGGGAGAACACCAAGAGTGAAAATTTCAAGGCAAAATAAAAAAGGGAAGTCTGCACATTGAGCTCAGACAGATAAGAGTGCGTATTGAGACTCGTGACACTGGAGGCAATGTGACAGTGGAAGATTGATAAAAGGCTTTGCAAAGATCATTGAGTGGGTTCCGTACTGCTATTGTATTTCCAAGTATTGCAATAAATCATAATTTAAGCCAGTATTTCTTGAAGGTCAGAATCATTGGGAGTAACTTTAATTTTATGATTCAGCAAGAAACAAGTGACAAAGAACTGAAAGCCTAGAGTGTACCTCAGATAGTTTTCATTTCTATTCAATAGAATGTCTATCGCCTGGTCAGGTAAACAAATATCACCCCACTGTGTGCAGATCATAACAATCCATGCTTTGTTTCAAATCATAGATGGAACTTTGGAGGAAGGAGGCCCTCCAAGCACTTTCAGAAACATAACCACTGCCAATTTTGGACCTGCCATTTTATTACCAACTCTAAGATGTCATCTAAAATGGCCAATATCCAGCACTGGGGTTACGTAGTGCAGAGTGTGCAATCTACTGAATATAGAAACATGCCAAGATTACTTTAAAAGTTCCTTATTCCACGAGACCACCATCATAAAAAGAAAAAGAGCAGCGATATTCTAGGATAACTTCCCAGAATTAGATATTTAATTGAAATATAGCAGAAAAACTGGTGCAACATTACAGCATTCCAATTTAGCAAAGGAAGTTCTATCTGTTGAGTAGTCCTTTGGTTTTCATTTGAGTCGAACGCTTATGGTCAAATTCCTGTATCTACCTCGAAAACCTCTAACTACTTCCAACGCTCTTACATCTTTCTTTAAATAAGGAGACCAAGACTGTACATAATATTTGAGATGTAGTCTGACCAATGACCTGTATAACTGGAAGATAACATGCTACCTTTTATTTCAAGTAATGGGGAGATGGTAATGTAGTGGTAATATCACTGAACTTGTATTCCAGAGGCCCAGGCTAATGCTGTGGTGACGTTGATTGAAATCCCACAATAGTAGCTTGTGGAATGTGGGCATATTTGCAAACTTACATTTAGACGTGCTGCTGTGGGAAGATCAAAAGTAGAACTATGAATGGGCAAGACAGATATTGATCAAAAGTAAAACATAATTGTATTCATAATTCTGGGCTTAACATTAGCACAGCTGCCTGAATCAAGTGGATATAGTTTCAGACAACACACATCACCCCGTTATGAAGCAATATTGTCAGTAAACTCTCAAAATTTGCCTGTAGTATCCAAAGAACGCGTATTTTCAAAATGCATCTAGAAGTGCCAGGTACCTATGATGTCAGGTGACCAACCAACAAGTGACTTGAAAAGCATCTCTCAGATATAGAGGAGTCTGATAATGATATATTTAGTGTATAGAAAAACATGGGAGTTAATGTAGGCAAATCAATGGAATTGTTAGGGCAGGTTAAAAAGGTTAAAAGGGCATATGGGATCCTGAGCTTTATGAGTTTCTGACAAAACTTTAAAACAAATTAGTTTGGCTTCAACAGGAATATTATGTCTAATTTTGAGCATTGTACTGTAGAATGTATATTATAAATTATGTGAAAGCCTTGGAGTGAGTGCAGAAAAGATGAGAATGGTTACCAGGGTACGAAACATCAGTTACAGGGACAGATTAGAGAAGTTGGAGTTCCTCTCCTTATTGAAGAAGAGGTTGGGAAGCAACCTGAAAGAAGAATCAAGATCCAGAGGGCACCCACTTAGGGTGATTGGCAAAAGAACCTACAGCAAACTGTGGGAAATCCTTTTATGTTAAATCAACAAGTGACTGGGATGTGGAATGCACTGCTTGGGTGCAGACAGACTCAAATGTGGCTGAAGGCAATTGGCTAAGTGCTGGAAGACAGAAAGAAATTGCAAGACTTCCGGGCAAGTGTGGCAATATAGGAATACCAGTAATTGTTCTTGCAACATGAACGTGATAGACTGAATAGCTTTCTTCTGTGTTGTAACCATCTATGATGCAAACTGAATAGGCAGGATAGAGAAACAATCTGGTATACAGCACAATATTACATAATACTGTTACAAACTCACGAATGTGGAAGCACAAGGCTGAATGGATATTCATGTCTGCCTGGAGGTAAAACTGTAACTTGTTCAGAACCATCTGGAAAAAAAAAATGTCAATGAGTTAGTTGTCTAGAAATACCAAAAAGCATCACACTATAGGCTACACTGGAACCAGTATTTTGATTCTAGTGCTGGGATCAGAACATTGTTTTGATTATACTGGGAATGTTAGGTCATCTCATGTAAAGATTCAGTGCTACTTTCAAAAGTGAAAGCATGTATTATTGACTATGAATAGATATTAAAGATGTTAAAACTATATCTTTATGTGAGAGCAAGATGGCTGATGCACAACTTTATTCATGGGTAATTAGCCACTGGGGACAAGCAAAAGCAGATGCATCAATGACTGGATCTCTTATTTGAGAAAACACAGAAAATACTTGCTGCAAATTTCACTTAAAACATTGATTGCAAATTGTCACAAAGTGAGTAGAGAGCTTCTCAGATAGACTCGCGGCATTATTGGGCTTTGTTGTAATATGACTAAACACTTGGGATTTAATGAAGAACATGGACAAAGCATGTGTATCCACTCTGCCCACTCAAACTTGGTGATGTGAGGTATGCACTATATTGAAGCATATATCTTGTCATAGAATCAGAGTTATAGAGCTGTACAGCACGGAAACAAACCCATCTGTCCAACTTGTCTCTGCTGACTAGATATCCTACATTGATCTAGTCCCATTTGCCAGCATTTGGCTTACATCTCTCTAAACCCTTCCTATTCATTTACCCATCCGGATGCCTTTTAAATGTCGTAATTGTACCAGCCTCCACCACTTTCTTTGGCAACTCATTCCATACACACACCACTCTCTGCATGAAAAAGCTGCCCCTTAGGTCCCTTTTAAATCTTTCCCCTCTCTCTTTGTCTTTTACTCACCTATCCTGGGGCAAAGACCTTGGCTATTCACCCTATTCATGCTCCTCACGATTTTATAAACTTTTATAAGGTCACCCCTCAGCCTCCGATGCTCCCGGAAAATAGCTCTAGCCTATTCAGCCTCTCCCCATAGCTCAAACCTTCCAACCCTGGCAACATCCTTGTGAATCTTTTCTGAACCCTTTTTGGGCTATAAATATGATGTTGTCAGAACAACTACAGGAATGGTATGAAGGAAATGTTCAGAAGTCTAATGTATCTCTCTGCTTGAAAGGATCCTACAACTCCTGAAGTGGTGGCATCATTGGTAAATGATGAACTATTACTACATAATAACTCACTGTTGCTAGAGTAATCTAGTTCTGCTGTAGAAGGTACGGGTGAGTATTTCCAGGTCTCAAGTGTTAGAATACTATTGATCAGTGGTTATCAGTGATTTTGTTTTCAGTGCAATGGACAGCCAGACTGTATTACTGCAAGCGTGGATGAGTTTGGTTCCAAATGTTGGCACGGGTACAGGACATATTGAGGCAATGTGGTTAGCCATGATCCATCCAATGAATGTTGCTCCCATGTTAAAGCCAATGTGGTATTGACATCCAACAGCATCAGAAAGGATTAGAGACCATTATACGTTGTATGAGGGTGGTCCTTATAAGTGAATTTGATTATCTCTACTATCAAGCATATTTTCTCATTGATCTCGGTGTACTGATTTTGTTTGATGATTATTTGTTGATTCGGCATTTGTAGTGTTGGGCTTAAAAACGATATCTCCAAACCAGACTATTAAGGGTTAATCATTTAGGGACATCACAATCAGCAATTGAAGAAAGTGAAAAATTACATGGAAAGCAAGTCGGGTGAAAAAATAACCTGTTTTGGTTGTTGGGCAACTGCATAGCCTTGCTTGTCTGTGGGAACTAAACTTTCATGCAGTTAACACTGAGACACCTGGAGATGTTTTCAATTTGTTTCCTGCACAGTGGAATGTCTGGAAAAGTACTGAAAGTACTACGAAATGGTGATACAGCATGCAGCTAGAATAGCATTAAATTTTGGGACTTTGTCCCACTCTTTGGATTTCCATCATCGGACCAGGTTTGTGAGAATGGGGCCATGGACGTTTCCCAAAGCACTGGGGTTCGTGAGGCCAGTGTCATGGGGTCTGAGATAGAACTCCAAGTGCGACTGTCACCGAAGTTCCTGACGAGCCAAAAGGCAGTGAGATTCATTAGTTCATTATGTAGAAAGTAGATTAATCTAAGAGATTCACACATGTACATGAAGTAGATTAAGCTATACGTATTGAAGCACACGTCTTCTTGTATTCATTTTGATCAGACTTTAAAGAACCTGTTAGGTACTTTCAGTTTAACAATACAGCAAAGGTCGACTCTGGTGAAAAGAAAATTTGGGTCCTGCGTCAAGCCCAAGACCCTCATAAATGTATATTAAATAGGAAAGCACTTTGAACACCTAACAATCAGAATCTTATCAGCAACAGGCAAACTTTGGGCAGGAACATTTGGATGAGACTGTGATGCCCATTTCAGCGTTCAAACGTTTTCAGGTGTCTTTTGAGAATTGCTCCGAAGAAATCAATTCCAAATTAAAGCCATGACTTTGTAACAGGACAGAGATGTTCCTGAGTATGTTTTCTCAATCACAATAACATTTTACACAAAAATAACATTTTGACAAAGAAGGATGTTCCAAAAAAGTCACATCAGTAATTTATGGAATGAGAGAAGGATGGTAAGGGAACTTATCTAATGTGTTGGGCAGAGGAACAAGTTTTGCTTTAATTTGTGATAATACTCTGCATATTTTGCCAGCACAATCATCTACTACTTCCATCTATTGCAAACTAATGACAGGACATGAGTAAAACGGTTCCTCAGGAAAAGTTAAATAATTAAATACATGGTTTATTCCACCCTCCCGCTCCCCGCAACCCCACCCCCAACATTAATAACAAGCAAGTTACAAGGATTTGTCAATTAATACGTATGTCATGTATTGAACCTTATGACTATCTTCAGCTTTGTAAAAGGGGACGCTGGTGAATTTAAGAAAAGAAAATATATAAAGAGTCCTAGAGATCTACAGCACAGGAAAAGGGTATTCACTCTGGTCAAAAATGACCTAACTATTTTAGTCTCATTTTCCAGCATTTGGCCCATAGCCTTGTATGCCTTGGCATTGCAAGTACACATCTAAATTATTCTTAAATGTTATCAGGGTTTCTGCCTCTATCACCCTTACAGGCAGTGAGTGCCAGAAAGATCTTTTCCTCACATGTTCTTTAAACGCTCTGCTCTTTACCTTAAATCTATGCACTGAAAAAAGGGGCAGCATGGTGGCTCAGTGGTTAGCACTGCTACCTCACAGCACCAGGGACCTGGGTTCGATTCTACCCTCAAGCAACTGTATGTGTGGAGTTGGCACATTCTCCCCATGTCTATGCAGGTTTCCTCCCACAGTCCAAAGATGTGCAGGCTAGGTGAACTGACCATGGAAAATTATCCATTGTGTAGATGAGGGGAATGGGTCTGGGTGGGATGCTCTGAGGGTTGGTGTGGACTTGTAGGGCCAAAGGGCCTGTTTCCACACTGTAGGGATTCTAAGAAAAGAAATTGATTCCCTCCATCAAGGGGCAAAGTTTCTTCCTGTCTACCTTAATCTATGCTGTGCCTAATTTTATATATCTTAATCACATCCCTTCTCAATCTCCTTTGCTCCAAGGAAAACAACCCCAGTCCGTCCAATCTCTATAACTGAAACTTTCCAAGCCAGGCAGCATCCTGGTAAATCTCCTCTCCACCCTCTCCAATGCTATCACATTCCTCCTGTAATGTGGATTCCAGAACTGCACACAATACTCTAGTCTAACCAATGTTTTATACAGCTACAGCATAACTTTCCTGCTCTTAAACTCTATGCCTCGGCTAATACCATATGCCTTCTTAACTACTTTATCCACCTATCTTGAAACCTTAAGGGACTGGGGGACATGCATGCATGTCAACATCTCTTTGATCCTTGGTGCTTCCAACAGTACTACCATTCATCATGTATTCCCTTTCCATGATAAATGACTGTAGAAAATTTAATGGGAATAGGAGCACCTATTTGTGGTGTGCAGAAGTTCAACCACAGTTGTACTGAAAGTTTATCAGGGCTTTCAGAGGTTAATATTCAAGCAGAGGTGTGGTTAAAAAATCAAAAATAGCAATTTTTGTTTTGTTCTATAATTAAGCTGTTAATTATGTTTCATTCCTGGCTTGTTAGTTCTTGACAACCAACTTTTGTTATCCTTATAGGAAATGTTGAATATACAGTAAGGCTGATTGGTTGTAGATATTAGCTGATCTCCAGGGCTATGGAGACTGGTCTTGTTATGTGCCATAAAATGATATAGGTTCTTGACAGATGGAAAACATAAAGACTGTTTCTTTTTGTTTTTCTGTATTTTTAATTGTGGACTGAAATGGGAAAAGAAATGTTTTAAAAACTAAAGATTGTTGAAGAATTACTGCAGGTTTTAAAAGTAACATCGTATTCTTTGCAAACACCATTTATGCAGTTTCTTATTCAAACAATAGTTGGAATGTATTAATCAGACAAGCTGCAGCTGAGTAGTGATTACAAATGGAGATTCAGCCTGCAACAAACAGCTAATTTAGTGTGGACTAGCAACCAGTTACTAATGACAAAAGCCTTCAGTCTGCTAACAACTATGTGATTGGTTTTCAGATAGCTTTACAGTTTGCCACTGAACAAAACAGGGAGAAATCTTCAGAGTTCCACCAGCTCAGGAGCTCTCTGTTCTCTGTAGTAAAAATTACTCTAAACTGGAAGAAAGGCAGTTAAATTTTCCTTCAATAGTTGCCTTCAGTAATCTACCTTCAGTAGATTTTGTTCAAGATTTTCATCCTGCTCTCATCAAGGCAACTCAAGAATACCAATTCAAGGGGAAAACAAACATTTATACTGCTGTTGTGTTTGTTCTGGATCACACCATTGTCCACTCACAGGTTCTGGCATGCCACTCATTGAGACCACTTTCCCACCAATTAGCATTCTCATCTCATTGCAACATACATGTTGGTTT